AGGCAGGGCGGCAGACGGGGAGGCAGTAGGCTCCTTTCTTCCTCCTGGGCTCCAACTCAGCAGGTGCAGAGAGAATGGGCAGAGCTGGGGATGGGCTTAGAACACTGCCTCCAGTTCTCCTGCAAGGCAAGGATTGGGTAGGGCTGGGATATCTACTGCGCATACCTTCCCAGAGTTCAATCTGGGAGCTGGAGGGATAAACATTCATTTTCATGGATCAGTAGTCAAACAGGAAAAACTAAACGCTCACCAATACCATGGGTGATGCTCAAGGATCCTAGGGGAAGAGGAATTGTTATAGGCAGCATAGAAGGGAGCTGGGGAGAAGGGCGAATGACAGAGGGGATTCCTCCTGGTTCACAGGTTCCAGCCTCTGGAGTAGACAAATTCCGAGAAACAGCTGCCCGAGGCCATGACACTGTGCTTCTACAGTGGCACCTGGAGACCAAGGCAAGGGAAAATGCCCAGGCTTCTCTGAAGACTCAGCTCCCTGAACCCACACAGAGCTCGGAAGAAACTGCTCTCCTACCCAGGACACACCCCCTGTGACACTTGGCATTCTGTGGGCGTGTCCTTCTCGCCCCTGGATGCTCTGGCCTGAGGCCTCATGATTTTTCCCCAGTAGATAACCATCCCACAAGAATGCCTTTATGCAGCCTTTGCAGTCTACACTCCTGAACATTCTGAAAACAAAGTCGGTTTTGTGTCTACCAGCATTCTTGGACTGCTGCCCGCTCGGGGGCAGGAGGCCTGTAACGCCAGGGTCAATGTTCCCTGCTAATTCAGCAAGTTCACGGTCCCGAGATCCTGGCTATGGGACACTGCACCCACACAGCCCAGAGAGGCTTCCAGAAGTCAGTGCCGGGGCAGCACCCTGCTCAACCTGAGAGCGAAAGGGCTCCGCAGTTCACAGGGGCTTCCAGATCTGCAGCCATGATCTTCCCGGATCCATCCCAGCTGGACATACTCAGCCCCACCTTTGAGCTCCAGGTGGCAGGGAGGTCTCCGGCCCGTTGCCTCAGTTGCTAGTCCAGGGGCAGAAGCCAGTATAGCTTCCTCCCTGGTCAGATGAGCAGTGCGGTTTTTAAAAGTTCCCTCCTAAAGCCACCAACCTCCGGGAACAAAATGCCTCAAAACCCTTCCACGTTGATAAGGACCTGCCACACATGCTGTAGTTCAGCCCAGTCTGTTCAGCTCTCCTTGGCTTCCAGAAACTGGCATCACACTTCAATAGGATGTCAGCCTCCCCAGCTCCTCCCTCAGGACAGAAGGGAGACCAATCTCTGCCCCTGGTTCCCTCCACGTCCCTGGTAAAACCTCTCTGCCTCACACTATGCTTCCTTCCTGTTTAGCTCCTTCAGGCAGTGATTCAAAAAGTGGCCGAGTCTCCTGAACTAGCAGGTCCTTGCAAACCTGTTCTTTGGAGCTGGAGGGGGCTCTTTCAGCAGAGCCCTCAGCCAACTTGGGGCCCAGAGGAAGCCAGCAGTGAAGATTCCTGGGGTCTCTCAAGGTTTATCTTAACCTGGGCTGGCTCTGTCTCCCAGGGACCTCTGCAATGCATGTATTTTTTATTGTCATAATTATGTCATAACTATTGTAGTAACCATGGCATCTCGTGGGTAAAGGGATGCTGCTAAACATCCTCTGGTATACAGGACAGCTCCACAACAGGGAATTATATGACTCAAAAGGTCAGCAGTGCTAAGGTTGAGATACTGGGTCTCTGAAGTCTGGGTGGAGACTGGATAAAGCACAGGAAGCTTCATATTTGTCCCGTGTGCTCCAGAACACAAACTTTCTGCATATGGGACAGAAAACCTGCCGGGAAGTCTCCCCCATCTAGGTCACTGCCCGCAGTGACCTGGGCTGCGCACAGCCAGACTCTAGAGAGGACTTCTGCTCCTGGACCCTGCCGGATGCTGGGGCCCAGCACACAGTCACCCTGCAGCTGCAGAAAGGAGCAGCTGAAGGAGGCATGATGGTGCCTACCTATAATCCCAGCTATGCAGGAAGCCAGGGCAGGAAAATCCCAAGTTCAAGGCCAGCCTGAGCAACTTAGTGCCCAGTGAGAGAAACTCAGTGAGACCATCTTAAAACAGAAATAAAAAGGGGTGGGGATGTATCTTAGCATGAAGGTGTTCCATATTCAATACTGCCAAGGATGAAGGGAGGTGGGGGTGAAGGAGAGGGTACGGGAAGAGAAGGAAGGAAGAGAGAAGGAGGGAGGGAAAAGGGAAGGGAGGGAGGGAGGAAGAGGAAGGAAGGGAAGGAAAGAAACACTTGTTCCACCTTGACTCTGACCTGGGCAATCAAAGCCCTTTCTAAAGGTTTTCTTTGCTGCTTTCTTTCAAAGAAAAGCTTACAGGAAAGTTCAAAAGAAAACCCCACGGTGCTTTGAGTGCCACCAGGGCACAGTGTGCCATCCTGCCCTCCCTGTGACTTGGTTCCCCACCCAAACTCCTGCCCTACAGGCTCTGTGCCCCCAGGTCTGCCCCAGAGAACAGCTGAGCTCCAGAAGGATGGGAAGCTATGACCCACAGGAGTTTCTCCATCATGAGGTTCTTCCAGGCCTCAGTTTGAGAGCTAAAGCAGCAGCACCAGCTTCCATGATGAAGACCTACAATGTGACAGGTGTGGGGCACCACAGCCTCTAGTAGACAGACCCCGTCCCACCTCGCCAAGCTCATCTGTTTTGGGGGGAGGGCGGTCTGCTGCTGTCTCACACTGGCGCTGTGCAGTTGCCCTGAGTATTCTACAATGTTCAGGAGCACACTCAGCTCCTTCCAATGCCCCTCAAGTTGTGACCACGGGACCCGTATGCAGACAATGGTAGAAATCCACAGGGTGCAAAATCCACCGCAGATGGGAAGAGCTGATCTTAGTGGCTCCGGGGATGAAACAGGGCTCCAGAAGCTTTTTGTCAGCTGCCACTCTTGCTTATCTCTTCCATAGACACACACCCACTCACACACACACAAAGGCTCACTCTCACCACACCATCTCATACACACTGTCTCATAGCCCTCCAGCCCACTGCATTTTCCTCACAGAGGATCGATCGGGCTGCCCCACGGTCCTGTCCTGAGCACACAGCTGCAGGAGCAGGTGAGGCACCAAGCCATGGGCACGGGCTCCTCCTCAGCACAGCACTTCCCCTCTGGACTCAGTCCCTGCCCGGAGAGCATGTAAGGACTCAGATCCATCAGAAGACACCGCTGTGCAGGCTCTGATCTTCCCTGATTTGAGGGCTCTGAATTCTCACCCCCTCAGTCCTTCCTCTAGGGGCAGTTCCCAGGAGCCTGTGTCCCCAGGTGACCGGTGACTGGGGGCTGGTTTGGCTCAGCAGGAAGAACAGGCCAGAACCTAGACCCTGCCCCTCCACCACCTCTCAGGGTGGTCTCATCACAGAATGTCAGGACCAGAAATGGCCAGAAGCAAGGAGACCGGGCAAGGACACACACAGCACCTGGTGAATGACCACCCAACCATCCGCTCCACCCTGCACAATGGCAGGGCCTGTGACCTGTGCCCCTGAGGCTCTCCGTTGCCCAAGAAGTAGTTAGGGGCCCCTAGACAGGGAATTAGGTCGGACCTGGTTCCTCCTGCTCAAACCTAGTGCAAAACCAGGCCTCCAGCTCCCAGCTGCTGGCCCACTTGCACCTTTCCTACCTGCCTGTTCAAGGAATTCAGTGACCCCACATGGAAGACACTGAAAGGCAGCCTGGAACCAGGAGGAGGACTGCAGGGAGACTTGAGCATCAGCACTTAATAGCCTTGTGATCCTGAACGAGCTACCTAACCCCTCTGCGTCCGTTTACTTATCTGCAAAGTGGGCAGCCTAACTTGCACTCACAGCAAGCAGCACCAGGGCTCACATTAAACAACAGCATGCTGAATCTGGCAAAGAGCTGCTTAATTCATCGCATACTTTCCTCTCCGGTTGAAGACCCTGAGATTTCTGTGAAGACAGCCTGTGTTTTACACACTGTTAGTCCCAGAGTGCCCCACAAAAAGACGTCTAGCACAGGCCTCCAGCCTTCAGACCCAGTGTATCATTGCAGCCCGGTTCTGGGACTACGGGACCCAGCAGCCCAAGTGGGCAGCCGTCCTCTACTCAGCTCTGTTGTCTATGAGCCACATGACACCCCTGGGAGAGAGGCACCCGCTGTTCATCATTTGACAAATGGAAAACAGAGGCACAGAGAGGTTAAGAAATGTGGCCTGAGAGCAATGAGCTGACACAGGCTACAGAAACCACACAGGGAAAGATGATATTGACACCTCCATCCAGACCTCCCCTCCTCTGTCATCCATGGACAGTGTTCTCAGGATGGTCACCAGT